GTTTTGCATAGCAAAGAGAGTTACTCTATTTACTCCTGTCCACACAGGATTCAGCAGCTCCAGGGCACAATCTTCCTTGAAAAGAGGATGAGGAGATTCTGGTGGCAAACAACATAGGGTAAGAAACGTTTTAGGTCAGCCTTAAGAGATTTGCTTCCCGTACACAAGTGTTAGCCAGGTCAGGGAACGTTTCCCTGCAGGGCCGGGGGAAGCAGAATCAGCTGCCAAAGGCCACAGTCCTCGTCCCACGGCTCCAGAGCCGTCACAGACTTCAGGGATAAGAATGAAAGCTCAAATTTATTTTGGAACTCAATACGTAGGATGAGAGAGGTGCTTTTACAGTTGCTTAGATGTAGTAAACATCACCTAGTGCAGAGTGCTGCCATCTCCGGGAGAATACCTAATGCCCACGTAGCTACAGTCAAGCCAAAAGCTTAAGCAGGTATGAATCACTGAGGTCTGGTCCCCCTGAGCCAGCTACAAGGTATTAAAAACAGCTCTAGACAGCGTGAGAGCACTCAATGTCCAAAAGAGCCTCTGAATCATAGCATATCATGCCATGAAAATCTAATAACAATAATAATAATAAAAAATTTTTTTTAAAAGATTTTCTCTGCTCAGGATTTGAATTTCTCTCTGCAAACTGAACTGCAGCATAGTTGCTTGCTTTGTGTGTTTCCAGTCCCAAACATATTTTCATCGGAGGGTTTTTTCATGTTTTAAACTGACCTTTCCCAAACGCTTCGGAAGCAGAGCCCTGGAGAACAAACTTGTAAAGAATACGCGGATGCTCCGACAGCACGTCATTCAAAAAGAAGCAGCTTAACCTTTTGCTCCCACTACAAATTCAAAGAGATATTACTCATTTTCTGGACAAACAGTGAAAAATCCAAACAGGGGCAATAAACTTAATACTCACAAAGATGAGAAAAAACAGCACCCCAGATTCAAAATAATACACAGAGGCAGCAGCAATCCCCAGTCGAGACCATCCCCTCCGGAGTCTATCTGGGCTTGTGCCTTCTACAAATCATCTGGTCATGAAGTAACGCTGGAGGACTCCCGTGTATCACTGATGCTGTAATTCCTGACAATAACTAGCCCAGTATTGCTAGTTTGTCTTCCTTGGTAAAATAACTAGCTGGTTATGACTATGGGTAAAATACATCATGGAAGACAAAGCCCACAGCATTTTCACCGGAGTAGGTAACTGGCAAGTCTGGAGAGGACACACCAAAGGATGCAACCTATAGCCTGAGAAAAGAAGTTCCCTCCAGAGGGAAGGCATGAAGCCCCCAACACCTAAGGAGGTAACCTGTAGCGCAGGGCACAGTGCTGCAAGGCAGCTGATATTATTCCTAATTCACATGCAAGACCAAGTACAGTAGAAGACTGGCAACAAGCATCTGTGAAGCGCCACCACTCAGCAAAGTCATCCAAATTCCCTGGCTTGTTTCCAAAACTACAATCACCTTTTCTCCGTTGAACCAGTCCTGCAATGCTCTCAGAACCAGAGAAATAACCTCCTTTATCATTAAGTAAAGTATATATAACTTTGCCTTTTAACAGACATGTTCTGACCGTATTTGGTCTTAAGAACAATTATTTGCATTTTTACTTCAACTAAAATACAGAAGAGAAAAATCTGAGCAGCTATATCTGCTGCACAAGGAAAAATCACTAACACAGAGCTTGGAAAGCATAAAGTGCTACCTATGAGATCTTTACCCAACCTCCAGATCACAGGGTAAGCTATCACCACGCATGGCCTAAACCGCTGCATAAGGTGCAAGCCAGTAGGAATTAGGACAAGTATTACTCCTGCAACAAGCACGCACTTTTTACTAGGAGAAAATTGCTTACATAACTGTTCTCCAAGTATGCACAAGCTGAATTATGATTACATTAATCAAAAAAAATGTTACATACCAGCAATGCGCTATTTTCTGCCTTGACGTGAGGATCGTGTCACTAGAAAAGTGTCAGCTTTATCAGTTCTGCTTAGGAGCAGAGGAAGTAGCAAATGTGTCAGCTACAAAAAGGGAAGAAGTAAAAAAAATGGCAACCAGAGTAGTCAGATATCATTGCAAAGCCATGGTAATCACTAGCCAGATGGCAAGTTGAGAAGAAACAAGTCTAGTAGATAAAGAGCAAACTTTGCAAAGAGACTGCTCTGTAGACTTTCCAGATCAGATAATTCCCAAATCTTTGACTACCAGCTCCAGAAACATCTCCAGATATTTGTATTGCACTTATTGCTGTGGCGTCATACCACTTTTTAACATCCAACCAGCCCATCCTACAGTAAGGCTGGAAGCCTTGGGAGAGAATGCTATTTGTCTGTATGCGAACTGTCCTAATCCAGGATTTCTGGTATCCTGACAAAGAATCAGGCAACTCTTGGTTCTGCTTCTCTTGATTGTTACTACAATGCTGCTCCTTAGAGACTCCTCCCTCTGAAACAGAACAGGATAATTATTATTAGGGAAAGCCACCATATTTTTGTCATGGGAACAAGCAAAGTTTTATCGTCATTTTATCACCAAAGGAACTCTAGAGTTGCACGCCAGGCAGTTTAGCAGCTGTCATCTGCTGCCAGAGCTCTCACCCCTTCACCGACAGCTCCCTCATCCCAGGAACACCAGGGCTGCAAGCTCCCCAAGACGGGGTGGGTTCCTCCCATGAATTCCTTTTCTTGAGCCAAAATCTCAGACTTTATGCAGCTTTCTAAGGGAAAGGGAATCATGGAAAAATTGGACTTCTGCAGATGATCGGCTCTGTGATGTGAACTGAGTAAAGAAACAATAAATGTCTTTGGTTTTCCCCGATGTTCTTTTCCATTTCAAAACGCAGCACGAGGGAAAAGTCATCCTGGATATACCGAGTAGTTCAGAGCACTGTGTTTCTTTGCCGGGATATCAAACAGGCCTTCCGGCCAGCTTTATATGGAAGAGAACCCTTCTGGCATTTGCTGCTAATTGGGAACCAAAAAAAGGAAAGCCCCGATGAGTTGAGATTGCGGCGTGGGCCTGCCATGATCAATAGATGGCAGACAGCCCCAGCAGCTCTTCCACCTAGCACACTAATGCAGTCCTAATCTCACTCCTGTCAAGCATCAACTAACTGCTTTTTATCCAGGTGTTTTTCTCACTTACGGACAACTGCAAAATGAAAGCATTCAAGATTTATGAGAAGGAAGAGGCTGATTATCTTCATGCTGTTGGCACTAGACACTATGAGGGGCTTTCTTTTCATAAAAGCAGCCTTACTGAAAATGGAGATTGAATATTTGCTACGTCTGTACGTACAACTACAGCTCTGCGTTCAGAGAGAGACGGGGTTTGCTATGCTATGGTCAAAAAAGACATAAGGAGCGTCAAGTCATTTCACACTGCATCACAAAAGAAAACAGCTTGAAGTCTTTGGCAAATCTTTGATGTTTGCTTTTCAGTCCTGGTGAGTAGATATTAACTATTGTCATTATGAACCCTTTAATCCACAGGGAGATAAAAGAAAAAATCTCTAAGATTAATTTTATTGAAATGCTACATTTAATCCACTATGCTGTGTCCAATACCGAAGCCAAAACGTTCAAAAAGAATTCTTCCACTTTAAACAGAATAATATGTCACTGAAATAAAATCTCTAAGTTGTGGCCAGTTCCTGGACTATTCTCAGGGCTCAGATGCCAGACAGACATCCTAACTTGTAACCGTGATGATGGTTAGAACCCACCCTAAGCTTCCTCCGAAAGGAGGACACCAGTGCAGATACCTACTTCTAAACAGCACTTCTTCCTGACCCCCAGCATGTCGGCAGCAGGATGTATTTACAAATATCCAAAAGGAGTTGCAACTACTTCCTACTTTTCAGATTAATTAATAAAATACGAAGGAAACATGGATTTCAGGGGATTTAACCTCAAGCAGTTTCCAAAAGGTTGGTATCTAACCAGGAAAAAAAATAAAAGTCTGTATCATATGACACACTTAAATGGCAGAGCAACCTTTTCCTGTCTCGTGCTCTCCATAACTTTAGAAGAGTATTCTTAAGGTGATGGCTCAGAACACCTCAAGTGGCTACTCTCCAAGAACATCCACGGTGCTACTCTCCCACCAGAGAGATGATGTCTTGCATAGCTACACAGATGTGATGTAAGACTTTTTTTCTTGTTTAAAGGGGAAGAATTGCTTTTGATTTGAACCAAAACAACTACAAAAAACAACTACGAAATGAAAAGCTTTTATATACACATTTTGGTAGTGATCATAACTGGCAAACTGCATAAAGAATAAATATCAGTATATCAAAAATTGACACCGTAACAATACTGCTGTTTGATGCAGCAAGCAGGGACAAAATACAAATAGCATACTACCAGCAAGTCTATTAAGCTTTACACTGCTATTGGTAACAGGTAGCACGATAAACTAAGCAAACCGATTTAAACTCGGTTTTCCCCAGATGATGCCCCCACAACTGTGTTCATGAGCACAAACACTTGCAATATATGATGGGAAACTCGGAGCAATTGCGATGGCAATAGCCTTATACAAGCACTCAAAGCCACAATTTGTCAGCAGTGCACTGTATTTTGGAGCAAATAAAGATTTCTGTACATTTGCACTGCTGAGCAGTTAAGCAGTAGTTCTCCAAGAAAAGACAATTAGACAGTTTTTGTATTTTCAGTTCTTAACAATAAAAGAGATAAGTCTGGCCAAAATAGTTTCCTAAAAGTAGGTCAAAATACCCATTCAAGATCACTTCTGCATTGGTTTCCTAGCAAATTAATCTACCCACACAGATATACGTAATGCATATCCTGGCGACAGTGAGGCAGAGGAAGAAAACCAAATACATTAATGAGGTAGCTTAGACTGAATAACTGCAGTTAAAAGTTTTATTGAACAAAAGAAGGTAAAACATGGTAGTCCAAGTTCACTGAGCAAAAGCAGCTCTCCTGCTG